GAAAGATGCAGAAAGCGTCTTTAGTAGCCGATGCAAAGGGGAAACCACAATTATCTGTACAGTCTATAGGGCATTACCTTCTCTGCTGTTTCCATCCTTCACAAGGTACCACCCTGCTTAGAGACAAGTTGCTGTTTGAATTTATGTCGTTTTGTAAAACTGATGGCCATTTGATGGAGTTGAAACTACATAATTATGTTTAAATGTGTATCCCTCCACCACTTAGTAGTCTGTCTGCTTGCTTCGATTGTGAGCAGAAGCAGCATAACTGAAACAATGTCAACAAATTTTATGATGCTCTCTGTGGACAGAAAGAAAAAAAAAACAGCAAAGACTGTACAGCACAGTAAAAATGTTACATAAATAACAGGAAAAGCAAGTTAAAAATTACCTTGTAAGTAGGAATATATAAGCATAATATACAGAAAGACAATGCACAGCAGTAAACTTAAGCATACAGAGAGCAGTGACAATTAGGGTGTTAAGATGCTGCGTTCCAGTTACCTCGGAAGTCAGATGGTGGAGCTGGGAATGATGTTATACCTGTGTTGACGGCGTTCAAGTTAACAAGCCGGAAAACCAAGATGGATACCTACTGTTAGCTGTAGTTCACAATTGTCAGCTGTCATTAGCCGTTGTCAGTCGCTGTTAGCGGTTTTCAGCTGTTGTTAGCCGTTGTCAGTGGTTGTTAGTTGTTGTCAGCTATACCAGTTGTAAAGAACACATAACACAGTATTTACTCTACAAACACCATAGCATCGTGTTCACAGTTAGATGTTGGGCAGTACTACATCAACAAATTATTTAAGCTCACCAAAACAAACAGTGCTATTTAATACATTACAAGAGCTTTTACTGTTACTCTTTACTGTTGACGTACTGTGCTGCCATCTTGGATTATGACGTTGTCGTCAAGTCGGGGGTGGTGAGTGTCGCTACCTGATCCATCCAGCAAACCCGATTTGTACTGCACATGTGCGAAACGTACGTCACTTCCTCTCTTCATATTGCAATGCATTTTGCGGCAGTTAATACTATTGGTCATACTATTGGCGGCAGTTGGTCGTGCTGCGCAAGTGTAGATTTACTTTACCTTAAAAACTTTATTTAAACTGCCAATCGATTTTGGAAACGAGCTGGTGATGTGACAGGCTGGCTAGCAAGAAGCTCCAAGGCTATGATTTTGACCAGGTGCCGGCGCTTCCTGTGGCCCAAAAGGTCTCACCGTGCTGGGCAGGAGCTCTGGCGAATGCCTCGGCATTAGCCCCTGGTCAAAACTATGGGCCTCTGACTTTTCAAAGTATCAAGGGGGATGCTTTGGAGGTGTGTGGCCACCTATTGTGCACCCTTCCCGGGCCACAGAGAGCACCACAACCCGGTCAAAATCATGGTTCTCTGACTTTTCAAAATTCAAGGGGGGACTTATTTAATTTATTTTATAAATTAAATTTATTAACAAGGAGCATACAAATGTGGCAATGAATTTCAGCATTTTTATACAGCGTTTCAATTTCATCAATAAAATTTCAAATTCACTCAAGCCTTTTATAACCCTGTTGCAATTTTACAATGAAGTCGTAGTAAGAACCTTTAATGAAAGGAAACTGAGGCGCCATTCTCTTGACTTTACGGCGCTCTGCTTCAGTCGAGGGAAGCACTCTGTTCAGGAGAAAAGAAAGGCGTGTGGCTAGTGATAAACTGAAGCGTCCATACTGACTGAAGCGAGCTCGCTGATGCTGAAGCTGTCGCAAACCGCGAGAGGCAAAGAATTGATGAGCTGTCGCAAAGATGGCTAGTAGAGGAAGTCATTTAAGTTTCGCACATGGGCAGTACAAATCGGGTTTTAGGGACGGATCAGGTAGTGACAGAGAGGACCGTCCGACTTTCCGAGTCGGAAATCCTGTGTTCCAAGTACAACTGGAACGCAGCAGCTCTGTGGTAAACAGTATAGTGAAGGCTTTGAGATGATGTGTGCATATATATAACATTGCCATGGTCAATCAGGGAGACAAAGGTAACAGCAACAGGTCTTTTCTCTGGAAAGGGAAAACATGACATATTTCTGAAATAGAGGCCTCTCTGCAGCTCCAACTTCATTACGAGTTGCAGTATATGAAGTTTAAAAGACAGAGAATCACGGATCAAGAATCCACCATCTTCATGAGAAGATACAGACTCAATCACACCACCCTCAGACACAGTAAAAAGTAGCAGGTCTAGTGGTTTTGTCTCTAAATTTGTAACCCTTGTTAATTCTTTGGATAGGTTTGGCCACATAAAGTACGTGATTCATCCTTGGTGGGGGAAAGGACAGAAAAAAGCCAAGGACAGAAGGACACATAAAACAGCCTTGATTTGCCATTGTTGTGCAGCAGGTACCAAAATGAGTCCTTTGAGGGATGCAGCCCCTGAACAGGGACACTGCAGTTCTTCCTCTTCACTAAAACTCAAACACTGATTTCGATTTTGACAAATTTCTTTATTCTCATGGGTCAACCTGCCAATGACATTTCTTATGTCTTTGTTCTCTTTACTCTTATCTGTCAATTTACATGCTTGAACACAGGCTCTAATACATCACAATAACCCGTAATCTAAACAACCTGCATTTGTCTCCGTCAGCCCTAAGGACAGTTTGTCTCTTTACCAGTGAAAGGAAATGTCAAAACCGTAAACAGCTTGAGGAGGAGGTGGCAGACGATCAGGGTTAGATTTGTGTTCCGATATTTTGTAGAGACCTGATCAGTCTGACTTGGGGTTCGCAGAGAAATTACACAGTTTTGTGTAAGTCTATTAGACTCTGTCAGGGGGGAAACACCGTGCACAGACTCAACTGTCTCTATTTCTTTCATCTTAATATCAGCATCCTGCCGCTGAAATATCACATGTGTTCTTTAGAGAGGGGCTTTGTAGTGGGTTTTATTTTCCTCACATATGTGAGATGAGTTCATACCAGTGCGGGGGTTTATGCATGAAGAAAACAAAATACTGCAAGACACTGAAAATTAGTTCAGGTGTTGGTTTGAAAACGTTGCAGAAGAAGTGCTGCCAGTAAGAAACGGTTAGGTTGGTAAAGGTTCAACTTTTAGTCTCTGCTCAAACCTTTGAAATACCTGAGGTGTAACTGAAGAAAGCTGGTTTGGAAAAGTTTGGAAAACTGTGAATTTCCCCCTCAATTCTTTGTTTTGCCATTGTAGAATTGGATTTTGGAGCTGTCAGACAAGCGCATGTATTATCCAGTCAAAACATCGGGATTCAGAGAGAAAATATTGGTTCTTAATCGAAAACATCCCCAGCTGTATTTGGTTTCAACACTGACATACTTCACTGCCTTTTAGACTGCAGACTTGAGAGCCTTTCTTGCCTTCTCTGTCTTTAAGTATATGCTTCAAACTGAGTCTGGTAGATGTAAAGTTGGCATTTTTAACAAATCTCTGTAATCATGGGAGACATTTTGACATGTCAGGTGTAAATTGTGCTTTTAGAGAAAAAAAGATACCAGGTTATACAGTATATTATGAAGTGAAAGATGTCTCCATTCTACTTATTTCAAATTTGGAATTTCCCCCTGTTGGACTTTTAAAGAGACATCTTATCTTATTTATCTGCCTCCTTAAGAGTCTTGGGACTGTCCTACTGTCATGGCTATCTTTAGTGTTTTAACAAGTGCAAAGTCAGTGGTGAGTTAAATTGTTGTTTGGGTTGAGCAAGTAGTTACAAACGTGAACCATTAAATGATGGAAATCTGAGAGATTTTTATTTAGACTTCATAGAGTCTCTTTTACCGTGTTTTACACAGCATATTGAATGATTCATCAATGTGTGGCTTTTATTGAGAAGGGGGCAAAGCCATTTCATAACTTAAACTATTCAAACTATACAAAGGTGTGTGATGGCACACTACATAGTTGCACAAGAGAGCTTTACCAACCAAATTTAAAGATAGGGGGACACAGAAATTTGAAACTGTTGAATCTTTTCTTTGTACAAAAAATATTTCAACATGTTAAATAATTGTGTTTTTTTGTTCTCTTGGGTGTCATTGTGTCAAAATAAAGGTGTGTACATATCACTTTTGTGTTTTTCCACTCTCTGCTTTGACCTCATGTGTCAGAACTCTCTCTCACCTAAGATTACTTTAGAGACCATCTATTAGAGAAACCCTGAGTAATTTTTTCCATTTCCTCTCTTCACACTGAGCCATTGAGGTTTCTACCACATGATTTTATTTTCCAGCCACCAAATCGACTGTCTACTCAAAACTTAGCTCTCAGTACATTCATCACCACATCACTGTCAGTTTGAAGATTTGCATGTGCACTCTCCACTGAGTGAACAATTTAGAGATGATAAACTTTTGATGAATTGTCTTTCTGGAGATGGAGAGAAACATACTTGTTGATTTAATACAACAGTTTCAAGACCCCGAAATAGAGCGTCAGACTTACAACAGGTTTTATGTTGACCTTATAGTTAACTTTCATAAATTTCAAACAAAATGAATGAGTGAAAGGGTATCAAAGTTATGTTTCGCAGTATATTATTATATCAAAGTTACGATTAACTATGCCCACCTTTCATTATCTTGTCAATGACCAGGGGGCCTCACAGCCTTTTGAAATGTTGAGTGACAGCCACCCACACAGTCGATGTGTAGAAACACTCTGCAGTTATAACTCGGTAAATGAATTCACACAATTATTTGACATTATACTAAGCCAACTATTGACCCAGTAAAACTCACTGGGACCCAATTAAGGTTATGACCCTTAGTTTAGGAAAAGCTCCTGTGATATTATTTGATGCATTTATAGTTCGTTTGTTTGTTTTTACCACCGAATCACTTGGATTTATGCTCCATTATGTTAGGAATAGACTCTGGACTTTCAATATGAATAGTAATGAACATAAATGACATATGCACTAAAAGTTGTGCTTTAAACACATGTACTTTTAAATGTGTGTATGTGTCAGTATGAGAAAGAGTGTATGTGAGGTGGAGCTTGGTGTTGGTTTGATGCTGCAGTTTTTGTTCCCTCCAGCAGGGATCTTCTTGATACTCAGAGGTCTCAAGAGGAATAAGAGGTAGCAGTTTCATCTTCTGGCAGCTGTTCAATAGCAGAAAGAGGTTTAATGATGTTAGGAGACATGTCCGAGTCCTGTCTGCTGTCAACTGTTCATTTGATCATGTATCAGAAAATGTTGCTCACATACGTTACTGCTGCTTTCTGTCTCAAGATTGCAACATGTGACTGTGACATATGATCCTGACCAACCATAACAACAAATAATCAATGCACAAGTGGAGGCAAGTAAAATATGTTGGGATTGTTTAAGAGAACAACAATTGCATCGGGCCAAAATCTAAAAAATGATGTGCCTTATGTCTGATGTAAGATATAGAGCTTCATTTTTTAACGATAGCTTTTCTGTGGCGGTCTTTTCCATCAGTTTCATGATGAGTCCCTTTTGTTTTACTGGCATCTGTTTGGTAAGTTCACCATATCAAATAGTGTCATTGAAGACAAACCCATGCCTAGCCTGGTAAACCATTTTTTTCTCATTTGGAGTCTCTTTTGTGTCTTTCTTTCTTCTGCAAGAAAAATCAACTCTGCACCAGGAAAAAGCAACTCAAAATTCTGTTCTACCTTTAAAAACTGGTAAGTCCCTGAACTAGATTCACAGTTGTACTTTTTGTTAAGTTGTCTGTTCTGTGTTTTATCGGTAGAGACATAACTGTCAAGTGACTTCCTGTCATGCTGATGGAGAACATAAAGTACATGCATGTAAACATTGAGTTGGCAGTCAGCTGTGATGTGTGTAAGTGCAAAGTCTGATGTGGGGTTAAATCTTGACCAGGCTGAAGAAGGAACGATGTGTCAAATGGCCTGAACAAGACAGCAGAGGAGTACTGTGTTAAATTAGTGTGCCGCATACCTAAGTGTGTGTGGTGTCTGTATTAGAGTTTGTGTGAACAGAAGTGTGTCTGTCACTACTGTTAGATCACAGCAAAGTGAGAACAACTGTACTACCAGACTGCTGGATCTAGTCAAATAAGTAAACAACACACTCACACACAGGCATGCGGCAATGTTCACTCGTCTTCACAGCAGAGAAAACTGCCACATGGAAATGAATAACTAGTTCCTCGGTCTGATAAAGATCAAGGGCTTAAACTGATGGATTAATGGAAATAGGATGAAGAATAGATTAAATGTGTAAGACAGGGGAAAAGGGTGATTAGTTTGGCTTTTGGATTTAGAGACAATCTGCAAAGTTCATGGAAATTAGCAATGAAGTGATGAAGTATAAGAGAGTCAAACTAGAAACATACTACTGTACCAGGTCATGCAGCAACAGATCAGGACGGTTGACTGTATTTTTACATTTACATGTGAGATCCACCAGCAAGCACATTACAACTAAGAAATGTGAAATACAATGTGAATTCTGAACATCCGACAACATAAGAATGAGACATGAGCAAGTATATTACAGTTTTGGCTTTATTAAGAGTTTCAATAATATAAACATAAGAGTGATTTAAAGATGGTGCTCTTATTATGACTTTTGTCACCAGGCCTTAGATTTTACATTCAAGCAAGCATGTGATGTCTCAGAAGTAATCAATTGGAGCCTTTGTGAAAGTCTAGACAGAACCAAAGAGTTGTGTTATTATTCACAATCATCCAGTCACCATTAAAGCCATGAAATTACAGTAGTCATCACCAATGTTAGTGCTTGAAATTTATGTGGAACGAAAAAGAAACATGAGTCACATGAGACGAGGAAACAGAACAAAAAAGCAGTGACAGTGTGAGCAGAGCCGTGACATTAAGATGGACGACGGATACAGAAGTGTGTGTGTGTGTGTGTGTGTGTGTGTGTGTGTGTGTGTGTGTGTGTGTGTGTGTGTGTGTGAGCGCGTTGTGTGCATCTTGTGTGTGCGCGCGTGTGTGTGTGTGTGTGTGTGTGGCATGTAGCTGTGACCTCTCACAGCATGGTGTTAGGTCTTCAGAGTCACAGTGCTATTGTGCCCTGACCTCTTAAATTACAAACAGTCAATATTATTACACACACACACACACACACACACACGGACATTTCTGGTCCAGGTGGTCAGCATTGTGTCATTGGGGGGGAGGGGTTGTTAGGGGGGATCATGGATCACTGCAGGAACCAATTGACTTCCATTAACACTAACCAACCAGTAGTCAATACCTGCTAAACTCACACAGGGATGTGCAGACATGGCGAAGTCGAAGCAGGCCTGTGTTTTACTTACTGTTCTTTGATTGTAAATTTCATTTATTTCAGATTTGGTTGGATCAGTCAGTGGAAATTAAGTCGGCCCTCAATACTGTTTATAAAACTTAATGAGTTTTCTTCTTCACTTATTCATCACCTCTGAAGATTTGATCGTTTTCTGAGTCATTTCTACTTTCAATAATCCTGTGATAAGTAAATCAGTCTCATGAATTCAACGGCTCTAGCTTTCCTGGAGAGTGATTGCATTTATATTAATGTGTTTGCTTTCATGAACAAGTTATTAAGCCCTCGGTTTCAGCTAACTCTGTGTGGAGCAGCCTGACTCACTCATTTTCAATGCTTCGTTGACTTTCACAGCTGGGTCAATATGCCATAATGAAGCTTCTCCTCAGGCGACACACAGACAGATATGCATCTTTATTCTACAGACAACCCCATCAGTACAAGAGGCTTTTTTATGCCAAGATTAGTAGAAATTTCTGTGGTTGTAACTTTCTAACACTTTGTTTTGAGTAAAGATAAAGGGAAAAGAGTTCGGTTTTCATTACCTCTCATCTGTATATTTAGTCATCAGTTTGTTTGTTCACTTGTACAAAATTTTATAGTTGGCACTATATAGTCGAATTTACAACTATTTATGTTCTTTTAAGTGTAATGGCATCAACTGTAGTGAGCAGTATGTAATTATCCCAAAAAAGCCCTGAGGGCTGCTGAATGATGCCATAAAACTCTGGTAGGTTTCTGTATTCCAGCGGTGTTGAGCTACAACAATGACTTGCCTGTTAAAGCAAATAGGCAGAGGAGGAGCTTAAGCAAACACAGTTAAAAACTAAGAAGTTAAATGCCTGTTTATAAACGCATCCATGCAGAAAATCTTATATCAGATCTATCGCGTTATTTCTGTCAACTCAGAAATAGAGAGATATGATCACAGTGATAACCTGATGAGCAGGATTTAAAACTTGGTCTAATGGCTTTTTCAAGCAGGATTACACTGCTTATAGTTCTGTCAGTAAGACAGCATGTTAATACGGAAAGTATAGGCCACACTGTCCAAGAGAGAAATCATATGAACCCATTAAGAACTACTTAATGCTTCAGTTGACGTAGCACATGAATCAGACGCCGAAGCTGTCAGCTTTTATGGGATAGTTTCAGTGCGATTAAGGTCCAAAAACAACTTGTTATATTATAAAACCACATTATATTTTGTCCCTTTCTGCACACTGTAGTTAGGCTGCTTTAGCATCTTCCCACATGCTTCTGTGATAGAAAATAATGACACTACTGTGCTTTTGAGTGGCATATTTCAGTTTAAATAATTCCCAGATTGCTCAGCTGACAGGTCAAAAGCAACATGCACTTTGTGTGTAACAGAATTAAATTGTAATTTAAGTTCTTTGTGTGTGGACTGTCATTTATGAGCTTAGCGTACAAGCATAGGGGTTGAGGAGGGGAGAGAAGAAGGACTGACCACCAAGAACGCCGAAAGAGGAAGGATGTCTTCAAACAGCCTGGAATGAAATTTTAGAGTTTGGATTTTTTTGTTACTCTCAAAAGTGGATAAAATCTGTCTAAATAAACAACGCCTAAGACAAAAGACGGACTAAGCAGGTCACAGAACTGAGTTTTTCACAACTTTTGTTGTAATACAGAGGGTAAGCACACATCACAACTCAGAAATCTGACTTTGAACCTAACTTGAACCATGCTTTTGAACTACCACATAATAATGGTAAATAAATTAAGCTAAACAAGTGAGCCCTGCATAGCAGTACATTACTTTCGAGGCAAACTGAGATTAGCCACAGCCAGTAGATTCTGAATTGTAATATACAGCCAGGGAGTCCTAAATCCTACCACCAGAGCATTAAACAAGCAGTCGATTCATATAATCACAGAGACAGCAGACAAATGTGGAAAAGTCTTCAAGATATAAGATCCTGCACAGCACCATGTTAGTGTGGTGATTAGCACTGATGTCTAAAGCCAAAAACCCACAGGACCTGTATTTGGTGCGTTCTAGCACTGTCATGTTGCAGCTCCATCAGGCAGTGCACATCATCAAGTGTGTTTGGAGCATAGCAGCAGTGTAGCGCAGCGTATGGGTTGCGTTGCACACAACACTGACTGAACGCACTTAACACACATCTTGTGGGTCTGCTCTTTATCCAACCAAGACTATGTGCCATGTGTGAAATACCCACTGAAAATGGGAAGTTCCTGGTGTTATGTTAGAGGCAGCGTCAATGACTTATTCTGCAGCCAGCTTTGAGGGGGAGCTCTACATGTTTTGGTGTCACAGTGAGTGAACGCTTTAATATGTGGTCTTTGGTCATGAAAGGCCAATTTCATGACATAATCAAACAGATACTGAGATATTTCAGTTTGGATCATTGAGATTGTATGTATTTTGGTATTTATTTTACCTTTATCTTCAGTGATCTCTGTTAGACATTATTCCCTCTCAAGAACTCGTACATTTTAAAACTCCTCAAATTAAAATGTTGCAGATGGTAATTGCTTTTATATAGCTACTCACGCATGTAATAGATACTACACTGACTCAAGTAACAAGTACCACAAATCTGGTTCAGAGTGAACGTACCTAAAATATCTCCTTCCTTATCCTTGCTGATATAACCCACCTCATCATCAAACTTCACCAACTTCAAACAGCACGAGAAAGTAAAAGCAATAAAAGACAAGACAGAAACAGCAAAAAAAGCCATTAACTATGTCAGATATTTGCAGCCATTCAAGCACATTTTCCCACACACTCAAGTATTGATTGGTATTGATCGCATGTAAATCATATTGACCGTCTCAGCCTTTTGTCTGTCTGTATTGATGTGTCCTCACGTGTAAAACAATGTGTGCCTGTGTTTGCTGTTGGTCTTTCGACAAATTCTTCTGATTGACTATGAGAAAGCTATGTTTTTAAGTAAAAAAGGTGAACTGTGTGATGCAATGCAGAGATGACGGTATTTTACAACCTGAACATATTAATGTTGATGTATGTTTGAGTCTTCAAGTACCATTTATTGTTAGAATAGCTTTACTTACTCATTTGGTCAGAATATGACAACACGTTGATGAACAGAAATATATGTGTCTATACAACTTTAGTGCATTGCAAAGAAAATGCAAGAAACTTCACCGAACATTATTTAAACCATTTTTAATACATTTTCTTTGAAGGTTTCTTTTCAATGCAAAGCTCCTGCTCACATTTCTTTTTCTTTTTTTTTTTTTTTATATTTTCTATTAAGGTAAACACAGAGCTCCTGTTCATTTTTTTACATAAATGGTATAGACTGAAATTCCCATTAATGTATTTTTATGACAAACAAAAGCAAACAGGACTATCTGAAGGAAGACTGATAATTGTTGGGTTGTAATTTTTAATGCCTAAAACTGACACAAGTGGGTAGGTGTCATCTGAGCAGGTAAAGAGACAGTGCTGTTTTTACAATTGACACAAAATTGACACAATATATCACAATAAAAGATACATTTCACTATCAAAAACTTGCAGCGGGAAATTTTGTGAGAAGAAATTTCTAAAGCACGTAGAGGACATAATAAGCAAAGACTGCGCTGTCCACAGGGGCTAGAATAATAGACTGGAGTTAGTTATCAATAACACATTTAACACTGGAGTTAATACACATATATTTCTGTTATTGAGCTGTATTAAATTGTATGTTCTGTTATTGTTTATGTAGTTTGGGATGCAGTTGTGAAAAGTGGGCATGAGTGTGTCTGTGTCAATAGTGGACAAAAATCAGTATACAGTGTGAGGAGTCTTTATTGTGGTAAAGAAGATGCCCTATGAAAGTCCAAAGTACTTCAAAACATACTTCAGAAAAATACCTAGAGATAATGTATTGTGAAGTGCAGTCAAGAAGGTCATTGCTGCAGATCACCTCAATGTCTTACCTTTATAAATGGAACATCTAAGATTTTCTTCCAAGCTGAAATGATTAACCTAAACTTTATTGCAATAAAATATGATGTCCATCTTTAAAAAGATCCAGTGGGAAACAGAATGAGAGAGAAAACATTTTATTTAATATTAATTGAAGTTTTTGCTGGCTGCTTTTGTTTCTCTGATTCATTTAACTTGGTGCCAGTGGTGGAGGACAACAGGCAGAGGGAGACAGAGGAGTGAGAAAAGAGCAGGGTTAAAACCCCTCCCAACCAGGAGGAGGACCAAGGTCTGGAGGAGGAGCCTTAGTCAGTGAACACAGAGAAAAAACTTATATTGTAGCCGAGAGACAGAGGGAGAGGAAGGAAACCCTCACAGTGCAGGCAAAAGCGTTTTTCTCGGTGGACTTTGTTTACCTCCTCTGCTGCCGATCCCACTCGGACGAGGAGGACTATTCAGCTTTTCCTGTCGAGGAGACGTCAGCGCGAACGCCAGGATTTTCTCTGTTTTTAACTTTTCACTTCATGAAGTTTGTTCGTCTTACTTTGGACCTGTGGATTCTATTGAAATTTTGTTGACATTGCTCAGAAATTTTCAAATATCTGCCAACTTGTCATCGTGTGATTTTCGGAGGCTGCGGTGATGTCTCGCCATTGACATGCACCATCCGTCCAGGTGAGTTGTTTTGTTTTTCACAGTGACTTTACAAAAAGTCACTTTTCCTCTGCGACCACCGGCATGTCGGCAGTCACGCCGCGCTCTACTACAGTTTCAGCACATTAATTTTCTTTAAAGAAACAATAAACAGACGACAGCTTTGCTTTCGCATTGTAATGCACACATCATTTATTGTTATTTTCATCTTAATTGGGGATGGTGAGTTTGCGTAAAAATGACATCTAAAAGCATAAACTCCATTAAACACGCAGTATCGCAACACTCTTACACGGTAACACAGAGACTTTGCATGAAACGGTCTTTTCCTTATCGTGGAGGTTTTTCTCTGGAATCTCTGGAAATTTTTGGAGTTTGTTCTTGCGTCTTGCAGTGATCCTTTGCCGTGCCGGTTTGTTTGGCAGCGGTGCGCGCGCCCGTTGTCTACGACTCCAAAAAATCCAAGACTTGAAAAAGTGTGTGTTAAGTGTGTGCAGACTTTAATGCAAACGATAATGACAATACCTCTGTGAACAAAGTGAGCAAATTATCAGCACAAAATGTTTCCTCTATAAAAGAGGAGCAAACTTTTTTTTTTTTGGAGGAGATACCATCTCCTTTGTCATGATCGAGGTCAGAGGGTTCAGCAGCATGAGAATTTACCAATTTACACTTAGTAAGACGCATGTCGGCCCTCCTATCTGTCATTTTCCTGGTATTGACACTCGTGATAATAGTCTGTTACCGGACTGTGAATAATCCTGTTGCCATTTTATTACACCTGTAGGGACTCTGCGTACGTGTTTTAAAGTTCACTCGCAGACCTGAGGGAGGCGCGCGTGTACTACTCGGTTCGGAAACAAATTCGACACAATTCCAAGAGGTACACACAGTTGAACATTCAGCACTGTGACATCTTATCGAATGTCTTGTTTACTAGTTTTCTGTCATTGTGGCTTTCCTCTCCTTCACGCATGCCTTTCCCCTCACGGTGTTGTGGCCACCGATGCGTTTTGATGCCATTAGTCTTAAATAAGCAGCACAAAACATCTCATATCTATTCCCACAGCGCTTGGGTGAACAGCAAAAACCATTAAGACAAAGTAAATGTATTCATGTGGCTAAAGGACGGACGTCACGTTCAGTTGAGGTGCGGTTTCTGTCCCTTCTGCGTGCGTAAAAATGCGTAAAATGCAAAGGCATCGATAGCCCGCTGCAATAAAAGTGTTTGGAGCAGTGTTGGCGGATTGTAGGTCATTGCCGCTGGGAATCTGTGCGTATTAGGAAGCTGTAGTTTAATTTGGACAAACAGGAAGTTTAGTCTGAGCACTGGCGATTAAAACTTGGAAAGTCGAAGATGAGACAGTAATTTTGTAAGTATTTGTTTGAACAATATGAGCATCTTAACCAGGATAACTTATCCTCGGCTCACCAAGTTCTGCAGCAGTTTTCAGAAAACCGAAATGCCACAAAATTAAAGATGTTTTTTCAGACCGAGTCTCAAGACGACATATCATCCACTCCAGCTCCTTGAGACACAAATCTTTGAGGCTGTTTTGTGACGCAGCGTAAGTTGCTCCAGGCGCTTCCTTCATGCGTGATTATTTTTCCCTCCACAAGTCACAAAGATCTGCTACAATCAGCAACTTCTGCCAAACAATGGAGACGCACCAGGGTCACTTTGAGCAGGAAACTAGGGCCTGTATGTATCAGCTGAAACAGGACCTTAGTATGGTTTCAATTCTTGAAAGGATTTTCTATTTAAGTAGTTCGTTATTAGTACGCGTCCTAAATAAAGTTGCTCTTTTGCGTGCCAGTTATAGCAATTTTGGGTTTTTAGGGGGAAAACCTGAATGTGCGAGTCTTAACGCGTCCGTGGGCTGGTACTTATCAGCTGCTGCTCCACACACAGCCGAGACGTGAGGCTGTTGGGGGAGAGAGATGAAAACCAAGGCTGACGGTGCCGCTCTGTTCATCCAACAGACCACCAAACCGGTTCGATGGCTCGCCCACAGTAACAGCTACACAGGGTACCGGAGGAGATCCACCACAAACCTCGCGTACAGACAAGGGCGGCGAGCGAAGTTTGAGCCGCAGCGAGTCCGCAGGAGGAGGAGGAGGAGGAGAGCTGGACTCACCGTCCTGGTGCAGAACCAGACCCGTCTCCCCTCTTGACAGCCTCGGTGTGTTTCAGAAGAGGTCTATATTCCACCTTCCTCGCCGCGCCTCCAGTGGATATTTTTCATCCGACGGTGAATCGCTTCCGAGCTCCCCGCTCTCTCCAAGGCCACTGACGGCTGACAAAGCCACACAGACTCCGAGCTCCACCGCTCAGGTGATGCAACACGCCCTGCAGCGCATGGCTGAGATGCACGGCGGAGGACCGGGGACGCACCAGCAGTACGGTGAGCACTTTGCATACTTGACCGATGACTAACCGTTCTTACTGTGCACAACCGGCAGCACATGGAGAAACTCAGACCATAAGAATCCTTCTAGAGTGATAAAAGTGACATGTACACATACACAAACAGACTGCTAATGCACGGAAATATCCACAATGTTGAAAAAGGAAAAAAAAAAAAAAAAACTTACTCTTGTTATCATCAGCCTGAAGTCCTTCTTCCCCTTGTTATTGTGGCTTGTATAGTCATTTGTTTGTGGGTAAGAATCCGCATTTCATAAAAGAGTAAGAAGTGTTGTAGAAGGAGTTGCAGTCTAAATGCGCAAATACATGAATGCATCACCCTGTCACCACATTACAAATACAATATTTGGAAGTTCACCGGCTGAATCAGCTAATATAAGCCACTCTGGCTGATTTCACTCTGAAATTCAGCAGCTTTAAGCTCTAGTGTGTGGGTGTTCTGCAAAATATGAAACCAGATATGAGCACAGCGAAGCTCTGAAGCTACTTTTATCACAGACTCGCTCTGAGGGAGTGGTGTTGTTGAAAGTTAACAGTGATATTTAAAATATGAACAACACATTCAGGATGTTTTTGTTCTCTCTTTTCAACTAGATATTACTCATGAGGGAAGAACAAGCTTTTTATCTTTACTCCATAGTAGCCTCACATTTGTTTCACACTCTGAGTTACTGACTAATAAGTGCCGCACCTCACTACTCAGGCCCTCAGAGGAAATCTAACAAATTCAGGGTGATACACGCAGATCCACAAGCACACTTACTCCACTCACCATAGTTGGCAGACTGATTTTTACTACATTGTGGTGTAACTGCTCTTCCTGGTGAGTAATATCCACTCTGAGTAAAACCCTCCTGGATCCCAAAGGAAACATTTAAACCAATCACACATGCCTCATTTCATAGGAGATCAAATATTTATGAGTGCAGAATAACTGCCAAGATATACATCTTTTAAAAGAATCCAGATTTTGAACAGGATGGACCTCACTGAGTCATCTACCTTTGCATAAAACAAGTGAAAACATTTTCTTCTCAACAGCAATCTACATAAAACAATGTCTTATTCAGCTGTCATGAAGTTGTCTTACCACTTCCTCGGTTGTTTATCCCCATCATCTGGTTTGAAGATAATTTATGCCTTGGACAATACTATATAATCCCGTATATGGAATATTTTTAATGTTTTTTCATATCTATATTTCTTTCTTTGCCTCTCTTTGTGAATGAGTTTGATGAGGTGTGTCTGTAGGTCCTGGTAGAGGAAGCAGCTGATGTTGATTTGCTGCCTTAAACTCACAGTTTTAAGGTATCTTGCTGAGTCAGATTTACAGGAAGGAAGAGGGGTCTTGATTTCTCGCTCAGCCTACCACGCCCCTCTGTGTGTATGTTTGTGTGCGTGTGTGTGTGTGCGCACCAGCCATCACAGTAAATAAATTGAATTAGTAGCCAATCTATGTGGGGGAAAAAGTACTTCACTATTTTCAGTACTGCTACACCGAGTGGCGAACATGTGGATCTTCATGTTATCTTTTCCAAAACACACGTCTACTACTGTGCATTAATGTACCTTTTGAGATGTTAAAAACAAATGGAGGATCATACTTATGCATCATAGGAGCTTTTTAGGGCTATGGCAGAAGTCATAACCCCAATTCGTTTGATTGAAATCAAGAAAACTTCACTTAAAATCCCTTAAAAACTTTTTAAAACCTCATTATTCTGAACTTTTTGAAAAAAAAGTCTTCCCTTTTAGCCTGGCAGTCATCAACCCTTTAACAGCCTCTTTTTTCGTCACGCTAACAATGTCCTTTTCAGGCAAACACAGTCACACACCTGCTGCTCCTCCCCCTGCTCTCCTCTCGCCCCCTGTGGCTACATAATTGCACTGACGCAGAGCACATGTTGAACGATGTTGTCCACGATGAACTGTAGCAGCAACCACAACTTCCTCATGCTCCCAAACTTTATTGCATGTTGACTCCCGCACTTGTTGAAGTGAAACTAGGAGCTGTTTGAGGGGAGGGACAGAGCGCACGCTCTGCTCTAAAGGTGGAGAGGGAGGGTGTGCGTCAGTCACCCAACAGGACAAAACCAGCCCAGCACGCCTGGTGGAACAGTACCATCCAGTCTTGATTATCATATTTCTATGTGATTGTGGGGGACCTTTACAATAAATCAAAATTTAAATCTGATTGGTTGGCCAGCTCTGTTTGTGGTCCTCCAAGGCCACTGTTGCTGCACTGATGTTATTTGGCAGTAAGTAGCATTGGGCTAACGTTAACAAACAACAAATCCAGAGTTTCCTGTCGCCTCTGGCAGGTGTCAAGAAGTAGGACACAATATTCAAGGAGATACTGCAGAAGCCTCAGTGTAGTGTTTAGGGGCAGCTAAGTCATTTTTCACTCTGTAGCTATTAAAGTCCTGCTTCATTTTTTTTTACTAATTAAAGTGTTATCAGTGGTATTTGAACTGTGATTAAGTTTTTAGCCAAAATCACGTTACCTGTGTCGTTTTCAAGGGCTTTTCTTCTGCAGAGCTCCAGTAGCTCATTAGCAATTCGCCTCTGAGTTGTGGGCGGAGACAGCCCTACTCTGCACACTCGTCTTCAAGTTAGCTTGCAGCCTAACATTGCCGGTGTAGGTAAAAGAAACAGGTAACATAGGAGCTAGTCAGCTCTGAGACACTAATGTCTTTGGGGGCATGATGAAAGTTAACATCATAATTAGCTTTCTTACGAGCATTTCAATCCGCTAACACAGACGCTTGTTCCGCGATCATCCTCTCTATTTCTCCGAGCCTGGCCTGCATAGCGGGGCTCTGGGGGAGGAGCTTGGATTGGTTACATATGACAGCTCACTGTATTTGATCCTGTTGTTTGGGTTTGCCAGAGATTCACAGCGATTTAAATGCAGAAATACTCAGAAATGCAATTTTGCACTTCTTTTTCACATGATATGTCCTGTAGCATCAGAAAAATGCCCTGTGAACATGTAGACAACTAGAAAAACATGATTTTCATTGGAGCAGATCTTTAAAAAAATGGGATTCCCTCTATTTTTGTTCCCCTTTTCACTTTTTAAACCTGGCACCAAAGCACAGTGGTAACTGAGAAGCTCATGGAGCTTTTGGGTGTCTTGTGCTATGAGCTAATATCACTTTTGGCTGCCTGCATCAAGTTTAATTTAAGGAGTGCCTGAATTATTTCCCTTTTTCCAAATTGTTTCATGGACATAATATCAATGTTACAGCCCAGGCCCAGTTAGCATTTCTGTTGTTTGTATGAAGCATCACACAATATGTGTTTTGGATAACAGTGACAGGACAGAAACTCTTCACTGTTTCTTTGAAACCAAAAACAATGAACGTACCGTTTCTTCTACAGCTGATACCAAGGAGGTCCTTTTTTTAGATTAAAGCAGAATTTAACACTAAAAATAAAGTGTTGTTCTTACTTACATCTGCCTGCGGTGCTGCTGTATGATGCTGTCGGCTAAAGTTTTCTGTCCTGTTGCCCGGTAACAGACAAACTGAGACATGAGTTATTTTGAACAAAAGGAACAAACAGCTGACTAAGTAAATCCCCTCATAGTTCGTTGAAGTAGATTATAAAAAGAGTCACAGTATTATGACATGCTCTCTCATCATCAGGAGATTTTCATCACCTGATGAAATGGGTGTAAGCTTTTGTTTCCAATTAAGGAACAGACAATATAATCAAAGCTGTGTTAAAAAGTACAAATTTAAACTCTGTAGAAACCCCACATTTCTGTGAATTTCTTTTAGTTTCTCTTTTGAATAGGGGTTTGTAAGTAAACAAGTTATCTCTAGAGGTTCAAATAAAGCTTCCTCAGCGTATTGTAACCTTTATATATTTGACTGTGCTTTATATAATAGCAGTGATTAGCTTCACTGATTGCCTCTTGTCCCATTTTTGTTTCTCATTGTAACCACACAGACAAGATGTCAGTCAAAACACACCATCGTATGAGTGTGTGCGTGTCATTCATTAAGTACACCAATCAAAAATGGCCTCAGCGTGTGTGCGTAGCAGTCAAAATAGGCCTGCAGGTCTTTTGTAACATGCAGACAGAAATCCTTTGCCTCTCATTCAGTCCGCTACATCCATCAGATAGAACAAGATAGGAGATAAACACACAGGCGCACAAAACATCGCTCATTGTTCTCGACCCAAAAGAAACGTCTCAGTTATCAAGACCTCTGGCATGACGGTGTGTTATGGAGCGAGATAAAGCACCGTAGCTTAAGGAGGATCCGTTTATCATTTTGTTGTTGTCGCTCTCTGACAGCATGATTACAGCTGTACTATCAAAACACTTCCTCCTCCTCCTGCAGCGGGGAGATCACACCTTCAGTCAGGTTGCCTCAGCTGCTAACAGAGTTTTTACTGTAAGACTTTGATGCAGTTTTGACTAGGCTTTATCTTTTTTTACTTTGGCCGTATTCACATGTGTGCTTAACTCCTAAAGATTTACCAAAATTTGAAGGGTTGGCATGTGTGAACACCAGAGATGCCACTTAGAATGGCATCCACATGTGCTTGTAAACTGTAGTTTCTTCAGGTTTGCTACAGCTGTTTTTCACATATTAGACGAAATTCCTCACTGAATTGCCTTTTTGAAGTATGCCTGTCACTATTCTGTGCAGGTAAATGTCCAGTGGAGGACATGGAGGAGATGGAGGTGGAGTCACTGAGGCAACATCTAATTCGTAACAGCACAAGTTGCACAATTAGCATTTAGCCTGAATGTTGCTTCCTAATAAAAGGCTCAGTGTTGTATTATCATCTGAAGAGAAAATTTGATGGGTTGATTTCTTAGACAGAGCTTTTAATGTCATGAAGCTGGTTCTCTCACAAAATCCAGATTTACCTGGCAAAGCTGACCTGTTTGGGATCAGGTAATATTGAGAGCTAAGAGCCGTGGCCTTTAAGTATATTTCTGAGGATGTCTCTGTGGGCAATTAAGATCTTCAACTAGAATAACAAGTACATAAATAAAACAAAATGAAACTTCAGTGTCATGTTGATAGCACCCAAACTGCAAGCCAGTGTGCAGGGTGGTAATTTATTTATAATGTGACCTGTGTGTGACTGGTGGGATCTCTTGTGTATATAATGGAGCTGCTTCCTAATCCGCTGATGGTCAGTATCTTCCTTTACGCGCACTTGTTGAAACTGCAAATATTTACAATTTTACAAAGCACTCGGGTAAAAAAATCTTGCTGGTAGGTGAGTGAGGCAGCTGAGTAGTGGGTGCAGGAACAGGGGCAGTCTTATGGTGACTGTTGCTGTGTTAATACTACTACAACAGCTGAAAACAATAGACTGGCAGCTTAGGAAAGCTGTTAACAGCATATAAAGTAAAACTACCTTCATAGTGAATAACGTCTTAACCCCAACTTTGCAGTAAACACTCTACACATCAGCTCAGCCAAGTCTGCATGAAGTCAAAACAACATGATTTGGCTGTTTGCATTCACATTTGCATATATTTTTAAGGGGAATTTTTGCAGAAACTATTTAGAGAGCAGTACGTGTGAGAAAAAGCATTGTAGTCTGTTAATTTGTTGATGTCACCTAACAAATATTTTGTAGTACATGTGTATATTGTATGTCCTTATAATTTTTCTGTCATTAGAAGCAAATTAAACAAAAAAATGAATATTCTTTGACATAACTCGTAAGCAGTCTGATGGCCTACTGATATTGCTTTTTTTAATATAAATATAAACCCACAGGAACATGTGTTATTGTGTTGGCCTTTTCACTAAAATACACAATACTGGCATAATGTTGCATATTGTATCATATAATAAGGATATCATTGCTCCAGTGTCTGATCTAAGTCAGCTGACTAGTTTCTGAAAGCAAAAGAGGCATGAAGGGTGTCACAATGTAGAGTAATGTGGTGCATACTGAAACACAAGTACAGGGCTTTCATAATGTATATGTAACATGAGCTCACTGGATGTTGTGGAGAAACTGGAAAGCGGTCTTGTTGTGACGTTGCTCTAATATTGGAGGATGTGAAAAATATTACATGTAGGTTTCATAACATGCATGAGTCATAAGTGGAGATGGGTGAAAGGGTCAGAGTGTTTCATAGTCATAACCACGAAAAAGGAAAACACAGATACACTCACCCGTTTACTCATCCAGACAGCTGGTAGCCGTGTTTGGCTTCGCCTTCGTTAAGATGCACGCTCCGCACATTTATCACTGTGACTGTTTTGCAAAGATTCATTCTTGAAATTTTCTCGTCTCTATTCATCAATAAAAGATGATAAATGTTTCTCACACTTGAGTTAAATATACATAAATTCTCTTTATTTTGTAATCCTCATTCTCACGTTCACAAATACATCCTCTATGTCATTCAAAGCAAAAAAAGCATTGTGAGAATGCACCGTTAAATGATCTCAACAATGTCAAAACTAGAAATAACCTTAAGTCTTTATGCTTGAGTTGTTTGATTGTTCAGTTTTCAAAAATGTAGCTTCTATATGGATTTGCAGGTGCACCATACAGGCAACATTACACTTCCTCCTTTTTAATGTGTGTTAGTGAGACATCAGACTTCACAACTCCTGTGTAAATAGTAGATGACTTTTAGAGACATGACAAATGAGACGACAGACAATTGAATTTCCCTTCAGGGATCAATAAAGTTCTTCTTATTCTTGGATAAACATCATACGATGGAAGTTTCTCAAAATGACAATGTGAAAGAATTTATATCTTTTATGCAAAAAAAGTTGGATCCAACCATTGTTTGTCGTGTGCAGCTCTCCAAATATGAGTTATTTAATTGTATATAAGTATATTTTATTGTAGTTGAAATTTATCAAAACTAATTTCAGAAAATCAGGTCTTATTTTTCTAACTTTTCTAATATTTTATGAATACAATACATAACTGCAGCCAGCCATACTAGATCTGTTCATATTCAGGTAAGCTTTAAGTTTTTGCAAAATGAATGACACACTCAATAGTGTCATTTTGCACATCAATAACACAACATTTCAGTCTTTATCTTACACAATGTTCACCACACACCCCCACATATCAGTCATTTAACACTTTTGGCATCATTTGTTGATCAACAGCTACAGCAGGTGTGTTTTTGCTCTTCATTTCAACATAGATTGTCTGTAGTCATTTGTCTTGCCTTTGTTTCTCTGGCCACAAAAACAGAAGACAGACAGGAAACCACTTCCACCTACAGTAATCTCTCTGATGGACTATCTGTCGCTGGGTGATGGGCGGTGATTAGTTTTTTGCTCGGACTGTCATTCTCTTATGTATGTCAACAAATGCAGCAAATACATGGGCTCTCATCTCTTTGCCATAGATCGAGTTTAAACTCGAAAAACTCTCAGAAATGTTTGACTTTCTTGATTTAAACCCCAAACACTAGAGCACCCAGACTCCAGACTATCACATTTGGGATTTCACTTGTCTCAGTGGAGGGGCTTTAAACCCTTTTTCATAACAAAACTGTCCTATATTAGTGAAGACTTTTTTGCCTCTTTCTTTCAGGACACTCTCCCAGCCTCTCTAGCCCGCGGCAACGAAACACAGCAGGGGACATGCAGACAGAGGCGATCGGACGAGAACTCCGACGGATTGGAGACGACTTTAATACGCTGCTGCTAAGGGTCAGTGATCACAGACTCTGTTAAGGCATGCATACATGTGTGTGTGTGTGTGTGTGTGTGTGTGTGTGTGTGTGTGTGTGTGTGTGTGTGTGTGTGTGTGTGTGTGTGTGTAAAGAGAGAGAGAGAGAGATTGAATCTGGGTATAGAGTCCCCACCCACAGCCACATACATATGACTCTCAAGTGATTGGCTTGCAGACGATAAAATTCAGGGTAATTGCATCGACTTTATCTTTCTTTTACACGCGTTTTCAAAAGTCAAGTTCCATCTGGATAAGACTGGAAATCCCTTTTTTCAAAGTGATTTATGTTCCTGTCTAACATGATTTACTGAAATCTTTTTCATATACCATTCATTAGCCAGACTTCTTCAATAAATCACAATGTGCTGTACAGAAATTTAAACAACAAGAGCAAAGAAACAGTATTTGTCTTTATTGCCACATTAAATGCCGTCATGGCTGATCAGAAGGAGCTTGAGACCAGCTGATTATCTGCACTGTGCTCGGGGTGAGAAAACCCAAAATGACTTTTGATCAGAAAATAACCAAGCAAACGGCCTGGAGGAACATAAAATCTAAATGTCACGGTAACCACTGCATTGACAAAATAAAACCTCAAAACAAAACGACACAGACGCCATGTGAAAGGAAAATAATAGAAGAGAGCTTTAGTCTTCTCTGCAAGGCTGTGTGCGGGCTTCCAGTAGTGGATAAGAAATAGAAGTGAAACAGTCGTACCTGCGATCCATGTTGAAATATCTGAACAATCATGTTCTCGATGAAGCTGGTTCTGAATGTAAAGACAAAATTTAACAGCCAGTATATACCCTTCATCAGTTTCTGTGAAGTGTATTACTATAGACTGTATATAGAATGGACGTCGTCTGCCTCCTTGCTGGGTGAAGCCACCACGAGAACAGCACCCTCTGGTGACGGGCTGCAGTATAGGTCATAAATCCCGCCTCTGCCAGCCATCCTTATGGGGCTGTGGACAAACTTTAGAAATTTATTACACAGAAAATATTTTTTTCTCCCCCCTGCTTGTGATGTTGACATGTAGTTGTAACACTGGTTTGTGCTCAAGTCCTCTTGAAAGCACAACCAAGTTGTCCATAGTATATACAGTCAATGGGTATTTCTGATATGGAATACTTTGTCTTAAAATAAGTCGCGCATTGGCTGTAATGAGATAAATGAGCAAAATCCAGATAATCTCCAGAGTTCCGTTTTTCAGAAAGAGAAAATTAAGACAAAGTAAAAATTCAACAAAAGTTCCTTCTGGAGTTTTTTGATCCCTAGATGTACAACCATAAATCATTTTAATTGGTGCTCAAGCTTGATATGTGAAATGACAGTTGAAATAGTGTGACTGTTGCTTTACTGTAGAGATAATCACTTTACTGCAGGGAGTATAAATCTTTAAATAGTTCAGCTTAGTTCACTGCAAAGTTGCGTAGCCGGGATAAGAGTTCATTTCCTCTTGGCTCCTATTTCCCTGGCAACATTTCTGCATGTTGCATCATCAGAGTTTCATTTACTCCCCTATCAAAGAGCTGACTGGGGCTTTGGGAAGAGGGAAAAACATCAGCGCTCACTTTAATCTCCTCACAGAAACAGAATTTTTGAATAAAATCGAAAGCAGGCTCGACAGGGCGGTTTATCCCAGTGGGGAGCTTCAAATGCTCCCTTGGTGTCAAAAGCTTAACAGCAATGAAGCTACAACTCTCCAGCCAAGCAGACTAATTACTTTTTTTCCCCCTCTGCGTTCAACCTTCTGGGTACAAATGAGCCCCGAACAGCAAGAGTTAAACCTCTGTGCCCTCCTGCTTCTGAATTTTCCACCCCTAACATGCACACATACTCAACCAAGAAGCCATGGAGAGCCTTTAGGGATGTGATTTGAGTTTACTTGTGGCTCCAGCAGTCATCACATCCTTCCAAGACCTGTCATTAACTCAGCTGGGTTACTCATCTATCTTTCAAACTTAAGTTTTGATGCATTTCCATGTATGGACTCCCAGAAGCTGTCATGAGTTACATGTCAAGATCCATGTGAGACAAAGCGCTGCTGTGACTAAAACTGCAGAGGAAGAGAAACAGAGGAAGGTTGGAGAAATACGTGAGAATTTGATGAGTCAAGGTTGTGACTCAACATGTAGTCACGGTACAAGAAAGACAGAAAGAGAAAGATGAGACAAGTATGTGTCCATGTACGTCTTGGCAGTGTGAACTTGGTGGACTTGTTCAGAGTTGTGTTGTGTCCAATCTCTATGCTAAAGATCACAGAGGAGACAGACAAAAGAGGAACATGGAGGCTTGTTCCTTTTTCTCATGCTAGGTGTTAGTATTGCTGTGACGAAGAGCACAAGCATGTTTTCACATGATTTTACGACTCCAGTAGTATATGATATTTTCAGGAATTTCACATTTTATTCATAATCTTTGCTATCAAGATGAGAAGTTGCCCCAAGTATTGTCTAAATTTCATCTCAGATTTCTGAAATTCCCCATAGTGGTTGAACACACCTGCGTTTGCTGATGAAAGCTATGAGCCATCTTGTTATTGTCGACCTTTTGGCCAGTGACCACACTTATCAGCAGTCTAAGATGTCTACATAAAAGGGTTCAGGTCATGGCACTGCAGCATAAAATGGATTTACTTCCTTGTTTACAGGTAAAAAACAAAAAGAAGATAACAAAAATGCCTGTTTAGATTATAAGAATGTGCAAGACTCACAGTGAAGGAGAGGAAATCAGTCTAGAAGCGGAACGATCTAAATGGAGCTCGAGGAAATTTCTGAGCAAAAGAAAATTTCACATAGTTCCCAACAATCCGATAAACTTGCTTAACATGGTCATAAAACAGGCCTAGCAGGATAAGTGAATTATCCTCAATCATATCATTTCATCCAGTCCTGCATGATTAGACAAGGACAGGCTGAAACTTTGAAACAAGGTTGTTTGCATCTCTGGCATCAAAACAAGGTCCAAATTTTTGTTATTTTGTTAGATGTCAGAAAATTCAGAAGACTGTAGTGACCTCTAGATTTCTCAAAGTGCCACCTGGACACTGGCTTTTCTTTCTTTTAAGCCATCCACCGCTGGGTTTTGATATGCTTTTTAACTTGTGCATTCATGATGCCCAGACGATGAACCTTCAGAGGTTTCCTCACCGCTGTCACTCTTCCGGGAAATACCCAGATTTTTCTCCATGTGATTTCTTGTGAGTGAGATTTTTCAACGTCTTAAAGGATTATCTAAAACATGTAGCAGACTGTTAGATGTGTATGTTCCCCTCAGCACAAACTCTTTATGCTAATAGCTCAATCGATATTGATTCCCAAACTTTTCGGGGCTATGTCCTCTATTGTTGATTTCTATGTTGACAGTGGCCTTTTTGTTTTCTAATCAAACCAAATACAGTTCATTTTAGGATAGACTCAATGGTCGCCCAGGGAAGTCAAAAGTGCTTCAACACAAGTTTTGTAACCTAGCAACAGTTAAGTATTAGAGAAGCACTCACTCACACACTTGTCAACCAATATTATGGTTGTGGGCGCTGTCAACGTTAAAATAGGGTTGCAAACATAGCCCATATAGCGCCACCATCAGGTAAAAAAATAATGATTTAAAATGGATTATATAACCAGATACCTGTAAAATAATGCAATTCCTTCATGTTTAGCTCAACACATAAGTGGTAGTGGCAGCTGAAGTGATTTAGTCCGTCAAAAACACAAAATCTAGTTTAAAAAGAGATGAAGCCCATGGTAATGTTACTATCTCCTTGAATTTATCAGCAGGCTCTGGGGGGAATATCTGAGCACACTCTGACATGTTCCCACATAATTACCACCTTATCAGTCCATGACTCTTGAACGCTGGGCTGTGAACATGTTGCCAGCCAGAGGAGTCATATTCAGTTTCATTGCCCCATGGCGTCGGCCAAGAGGCAGGGCTGCATCACTTCAGGCTGTGGAGGCAACACAGTGACTCACATCATCTGCGAACACATACGCACACACAAACACACAGGTGCTTCCTCCTCGGTTCAGCTCTTTTTATTGCCGGAGAAATTAAGACAGCAATTTGTAAAAGTACCTTTTGTGTGCAAACCATATTGAGGTGGTTAGGTGAAAATGTACACACCAAAGTGTATAATAACCAATAAAATTACATATTTGTTTTTTCAGTGGTATTTCTCCCTCGCACTGGCTCTGCCGTCTTTGTTCTCATTTATTCCAGCCTCTCTCACCCCCTCCTTCTCTCTCAGTTAAACATTTACACAATGTGTGCGTGATTATGTGTGTTTGTTTTCAAAAGTCTGCAACATACAAAGCATGCAGGCTGTGTGTGCGAGAGAGTCTGTGTGTATGAGTGTATGAGTGAGTATGTTTTTTGTGTGAGTGGTGTGACAGTCCAGTGTCCGTGACAGTGTGAATTCATTATGGCTCAGCCCTGTGGTTAAAGTACTCTCAGGGAGCAAAGCACAAGGTCTAATTATCCTGCCAAAGCACACAAACACGCACACACAAAAGCACACAAACACTTAGAGACAGTCAAACACACATTTTTAAACACACACAAACTGTCATCTTCCAGTAGGAGGTAAAGCCCTTTGTCCTGCAGTCTAAAATAGCTCTGAGAAACTCTGTGCAGCTGTCTGGTGTTGCAGGCTGGCAGTTAGTGTTTTTGTTCATTATAGTGGGTGTGAATGATGAAGAGCAGAAGAAAATTCAATATTTTTAACCCTCGTTTGACCAAAAGTGCATTTATTTTCGCTCATTTATTTCATCACCTCCAAACTTTCAGATTAACAACTTAGTTGTATTTAGTGACAAAATGTGATCAAGTCTGAGTACACTCTGTGTTTTAGAGTTGAAGAAAGTCTGGTAGACGGTCATCTCTTTCCATCACAGTTCATTTTATACCTAAATCAATATATTGATATTTTTTGTAGACAAGTATCGCTTATGAAAGAGGACAAAAAAAGTCCTCTGAGTGCTGAGGATAGTGACAGAAATGACATGTGAAGCTGAGAGTGACACCTTAACCAGTGCAGCCTCTTTGTGCAGGTGTTGGCGTGTTGCACATGATTGCATAAAAGATAATGGACAGACAGATGTTAACCCGGTGAATGTTTAGTTTAGTTTAAACTTCATTATACACTCTGTAAAATAAATAGCTTCTATTTTGTCAGGCTACTCCTGAACAGCTCTGAAAAAGTTTGAAATTAGGTGTGGTAGTTAGAGAGTTACAGAGTTCAAGAGCGAGGAGGAGAAAAAAAGAAAGAACAAAACAAAGCCTGAGTCAGTGTGCGTGTGTGTGCATGTGTGTAGTAGTTCGGTGTGTGCTTGTAAGTGTAGCCTTGTTTAGAGAGCTATTTTGAGAGCTAGCATAGTAAGTTGTGGTGACCAAACAAAATCACATGAGCTTCTTGGAATGGACTGACTCAATTTTTCCACTGTGAAGAAAAAAAAAAAGAGACGACAAAAACAGCAATATGAGAAATCTGACAAGCTTTGCATTGAACATGCATTTAATTTTTCCATGTCTTTAGGCTGCATTTTTTGATCTGGAAACCTGAATAATAACATTGGAAGAATACATGAGATTAGGTAACGTCAAATCATGTCAGCTGGTGTAAATGTGTGTATATGTCCTCTTTATTTTCCAGATTTTCTCACTTTTGAGGATGCCAGTAAATTCACATTGGTTTGCCATGAGCACTGTAATATTCATCTGACAAAATTACAAAATTTTAACATTAAGGTTTAAGTTAACAGTGAGCAGCTGTTGCAGCTCTACTTCTAAACATATTTGAAAATGTCAGTCAAAAAGATGTCTCTAAATCACATGAAATCCCATTTTGCTATTGTAGAAATACCAGACATGTAATCAACATTTTCGGTGCTCTGTAACAACCGTGGACATTTGCAGCATTATCATTTCAAATAAATCTGCAGGTACTGTCCACATGACTTGTAACATCTTGTTTGACTGGTCGGCTGAATGACTGTATGTATAGTTGATTTACTGATGCAGTGATTTACTCTTTTGGCTTTTCTGGTTGACTGGTTATCTAGTGAGTTGACTGGCTGACTGCCCATTCTCATATTGCGTCACACTAGCACTATTGTGTGCAGGTGTTTGTTGTAAAAAAGCATTTGGAGTGCACAGCAGTGACTATGTCTGCGTGTGTGTGTGTGTGGGAACAGCAGGGAACTATTTATGGCAGCAGGATTGTTATTCTCAGATCAAGTGATTTGTGGAAAGAGTTTTGAGTTGAAGGTGTTATAGGATTGCCCAGGTTAGCCTGTGTGCATACATGTGTGGGTTTCCTCTTCTATAGTCTTGTGATATAAGGTTGAAAATCAATACTGTTTAGTAAAACTGGTTTTACTGAAGCTTGAACATACATCTGCTTCTGTTTGCACAGGGAATCCAGCCTCAGTGAGGCCTGTGAAATATGACGAATGACCTATATTAAAAACTTGTTGCTATATTTGTTAAGCTTCCTGGTATACAAAAGTCGTTCCTAGAGATAACAATTCTTCGAAAATTCTTAGAATCATGAGGTTTTCTTTGACTTTACCCCTTAAAGTTCAGACCAGATAAAGATAAGATAAAAGTTATTCACAAAGCATCTGCACACTAAAGAGGAGACTGTAAGTAGGTGTTGAAAGGACTTTTAAGGGGCACAAGATTTTATCAGCAGAGGAAAAATGGTGTGAAAACAGGGATGTAGCAGTGACATAGAAATGCCCTTTAAACAGTAAATGGCAGCAAACTCATTAAACCCTCCCCTTAAACCGAAGGCCATGTTTATAGTAGATCTCATTAGTGATAAATGGTAAATAGAGTATACTTACATAGCATTTTCTCTAGTCTCCAGATTCTTATACTGCTGGAACAGCCACTAGGTGATGTAAGTGATGTATGGACAGCAGGACCTGGAGTCCAACCCAAGTCCACTGATAGGGGGTTAATCACTGATCAGAGCATTAAGATAATTAGCAACTTGAGAAAAACAACAGATTCACTTGCTATGGTTTTCTGTGAGCCGGTAAGCCTAGAGCAGGGAGTCCTGTCATTAATGAGAGGGGTGATAAAAGCAGATTTCACACCAGTTAATAAGTTTTAAATGGTTAAAAAAGAGGAAGTAGCACAAATGGCCATCAGATATATTTGGGTAGCTCACAGAGTTATTAGTCTGTGTGGAAAATACTGCTCTGACTTGTGGACATGTGATTTTAAACCTTTTGTAGACAATTTAGTACCAAAGCATTCACACAAATAAACTGTGATTATAATTGCACAATGTCTGGCTAGATTTAACGAGTGTACTAATTAATTTTATTGACCTTTGCCAACCTGTAAACCTATTCCTTATCTTACACTAGGCAAACCTATGACACTGGCGACACACCCCCTTTCAGCTCATTACAATTGGGTCGTCTCTCGGTTGACCTTTTTCGTACCAAAACAATTGACAAAACATGCTAGCAATTGGCTAACGAGATGTATGTCAAACAGTGAAAACACCATCACTTTTACAGCTCTAACCCTTTAGTTTGTAGAGATGACAGTTTCATCTTTTTGTACTTCCTCTCTTTTTCTGTCTTGTTTACTACCTGGCTTCTTAGCAACACATTTGTTCTACTTCCAGGCCAAAGCCAGCAAGTGAACTCTTGAGCATGCACAAAGTTTAGGCCAGTTTCAGTCAGATAGAAGAGCAGACATGATAGAGAAAACCACTGCCCAATTTTTTAATCTAGGCATGTTAGTCCAACTATGACAAGTTTAATGTAGAGCAATTTCAGTCAGAATAACGTGTTAACGTGTGTTTAAAAGTCCTGTTTCATTCAAACATGTACATGTAAATGAACTGAACTAAACAAGGTGCAAATGACCCCGGGCTGCCCTGAAGTAGGGCGATGGTAATATCCCCCATAATCTGCTGCCTCACAGATTATGGTTCACTGCCCTCCACAACTGTGCACAATCATTCAAAACAACTAAAACTGCTGACTACCCTCTTTCCTGGTTGTGTAGTCAGGTGTCATCAGTATATCAACAATCGAAGATCTTGCAAGCTTTCAGTGAGTATGCTTTATGTCACGAGGCCCATAAATCTGACAACCGGGGCCCTCTCTCACTCGGCACCCTACAGACCGTACTGACAGTTAAATCATTAGAGCGGTTCATGAGGTGAGGACAGCGCCCAGAAACTCTGCCAACTTAAAAACCACAAAGGCTCTGCCTGTCTTTCAGAGCTGCCATGTGAGGAGACGAGACTCTAATGTGCAACATGATAAACACTGCTGCGAGCAAATTAACATTAATTACATCAATCATACATTTTGATAGCAGAAAGCATAATTACTTTTCTAAGACAAGAAATGGCGTAACTTGAGAAAGTCAAACTATGAAAACAAATGATACTGATACTGTTTTAAAAAAAATGTGCTCATGAGTTTAAAATCTTTTGCAACTTTTTGTATAAAGTAAGAGGATCGTGGATGTCAAATGACCAACCTTTGGATTGAGTGCTGCCAAATGCAACCAGAGGCTAAAATAATGGGTGTTTACTTACATGATATGAAACAATTATACAGTACATGCACACATAGACATACACACACACACACACAGTGCTGATCCGCCCTACGTGCTCCACTAGTTTAAGTCATCCCATCTTGTACTCAAGTTGTCACCTCCATTGCCAGTTTAGAGGTGAGATGACTCAGCACCACTGTGATGTTAACATTGAAGGCGTGGGGTGTTGACATCAAGCTTTAAACTGACAGTTAAATAGGAACTTAAGGATCACCAAACTTCAAATGCGTGTTATGGTATTGTTTAATTAATCCAACGTGAATGTCTGAACTTCAAACTTGTTTTGAAGCCAATCTATCCAATATTTTCAGAGTATCTATCAAAGTATTAATGTAGAAAACTAGTCAAAAACTAATTGTAAGCTGTGGTTGAAGCTTTGCTTTGGATAGCTTGGGATTAGCTAGGTTGCCCCCAATAACCAACACATGTTCTTGGATTCTGTCCTTTTTACAGGTTTTATTATTTTTTACATTTATGGATTTCTTTTCTTTGTGTCTACATTAAATCTCTATCCTCGTTGGATGAACCCAGGCTTGTCATACTGTTTCTGTACAGGAAATCTGGATCAGCTCTTGTCCAGTTCAAATATCTGATGACTCTGAGGTCATTTTTTGTAACCTCTTAGTTTGAGTCATAGGGAGCCAGATGTAGAATTTAAAGCTGAGTGATTCCTCAAAAAGGGTTAAGTAGTCTTCCCCTCACCTGCTTCCTCCTCTGGCATTCGGGGTTTCTGTGGTTTTGGCTTGTTTTTCAAATCAAACCACAGCTTGATTCCTTTCTTGCTCTTGCCTGTAAAGATCTCTGTTTTTTAGAAAACGGTCTTGCCTCAGGAAAAGAGGTTCATTCTGTGCCAGTCAATGTCTGTTGGTGTTGTTCCCTCCATCCGGCTGTATTTAACAAGCGTCATGCCATCCTCATACAGAAAACTGCTCCTTACTCTTATCACTCACCTGTTCTTGTAGATGCTTGAAACTATAAGTTTTCTTTATTTCGATCCTCATCAGGCAGTGCAATAATGTCTGCTGGTGGTTATGATTTTTTTTATTTTTTTTATTATTGTTTGTTTTTTGGTGTAAACAAAGTTTCTAGTTAAATTCTGTTAAATTCATAAAATGTGGACACTCCAGTCCACTCCTCACCAGGATGCCTGTTGTTTCTGGGAGTGTTTCACCGGTGACCAAGCTTCCTAGTAGTGGGTTCCCACCCAGAGGACTTGTCCGTCCTTTCCGCTCACCAGCAAATCAGCAAGAGGCTGCAGCTGCTGGAGCGATGGACTGATGCCAAGACTCAGGGTTTCTTTAGCAGGGATTGAGAGCAAAAAGGAAACACCTGTTTCTGTCAACAGTGTGCCAAGTGTGTCTGCTGAAAGGTGCTAAAATAGCAAAAGGCAGGAAAGACTGTTGATGTGTACAATCTCCTCATCACAAGAACTCTGACTCCACTTATTAACAGGCTTTTCCTCCTTAATGGTGTAACATTTGCTTGAAGAAATACCTGGAGACTGGGCAGCGTTTGTAAGACGTATAAATTCAGCCAGACTCAGCAGAATTGTCTTTGGCTGTCATTGGCTTTTTGAAGTGCAGCTGAATTTTAAAAACTAAAATTTTGGAGAAAGTCATGTAAATAATGTCATTCAAACTCGAATGGAAATGACAGTATCAATGTGTGTCATGTAAGAGAAATATTTTGAAGTTTTATCATTTTTACAAAAGTTGATGTAAAGGACAACTTTGAATTGAGTCTTAACTTGAGTTTGGGCTTTAGACCTCATGTACAGCTGCATTATGGGAAATGTAGGATCCAGATGTTTTGAAACTTATGTCTAGTAAACAAGGAAAGGTCAGTGTATGTCACCCCCCTTTTTGAAACCCACCACATGAAAACCCCTTCTGTTTAATGGTCATGCAATATAAAATGAATTTACTTCTTCATCATTACCAGCAGCTATCTTTACATGATTTTTTTATATGTTATCCAACACCTATCATTAAAAAAAACAAACCTATAAACACGTGTTTCACATATGCATTTATTTACACATTGAGGTGAGGAAATCACACCTGGAGACAAGGAGGGGAAGAGGAGTTATGGCAGGATGTAGAGGACTGTACTTACCTGCTTCCTGTGGATGTAAACATGAGGCGTACTGTATGTGTGTGTGTGTTTGTGTGTGTGTGAGATTATCTTTGATTTTCACTCATCAAGAGACATCAGGGTGTGTTACTGAACATTTGATGTATATTTCATCTTTATGTTCCCAGAACATTTTGTGAAATATGAGAGCAATCTGCAGCATCTAATTAGTTTATCCATAACATCATGAACTTTCCATGCATTTAGCCTTAAAGGGTCTGCTGGTTCTTAAGTTAAGCAAAGAAAACAATCTGTTTTTATGCATTTAGCACAGAACTGCCTTGGAAATATAATATCAAATAGTTCCTACTTGCCAAAGCTATTGCTGTCTCCTGTATAGTTCATCAAGATAGAAACACATAATCAATCTTTCCCCCCAATACTAGAGCTATAGCTGACAAGAACAACACTCATTTGTATATTTAATGTCTTCTGCCTTTTCCAGGGTATGGTGGGCCGACGTGTACAGGATGAGATCCATCCAAACCCCCAGCCGCACATTCATCCGGAGCCCACCGTGCTGCTCTGCGTGGGGCTCCTGATCCTCATCATTGGACGGATCATCTACTTACATGGCCATTCAAACAATCAGGACCACTCTCAGGTGTAGCCTTTGGGAAACCCAGCAGACGTAGCATTTTCCTTCAATAATGTATTTGTATTGTATCACATTTTTAGACTTCTGTTTTGCCAAAGGGGAACATTTTTTCCCAGCATTCTTCCCTTTACATTTGGAAATGAAGACTTTGGATAATGTTTGTATTAATTTTTTTAATGGAGATCTTGAAGAACTCTAAATTGCCTGGGTTTTCACCTTGGTTTTTTTCCATCACCATCTTTGAGCCATGGGAATTCAACCAAAGAGCCAGGATTTTGCACTCTTTTCCAGGACTTGTGAGTTAACCCTGTGGAACTAAAAAAGTGCCTTGTACAGTTTACTTTTTAAGTCTTTTTTAAGGTGTTTGTACAGAAAGATAAGTTTGTTTGGATGATCAACTCTCCCCAGGGTTGTTAAAATGCAAGGGTCCAGTCTAGTCAATTGTCAATGTCTTTTTCACTGAAGGTTTCACTGCAGACATGTCAGGATCCAGCATGCAAACTGGACCAGGACTTCAACTGATTTTTCCTTTTGTTGTTGTTTTTTTTTATCCAACCATTTTCCCAAAAAAGTCTGTGCTGTGTCTGCTTATAACTGTGTCAACAACTGTTTCGACTTTGTTTTCACCCACACGGATGCATTGTCTCGACGGTTATCCTTTAAATCGTATTTTTATTCCATAAACGTTTATGACCAATCCTCATCAAGATGGTATTGATATCCTGGATAAATTTGGAGAAGTTCATAAAGTATTGGATTTGGACTTCATCGAACAAGATGTTGAGAAACCACCAAACTTTTACCTTAGGAAATTAACCGTTTTAGCTACCGTTAGCACTCCTACTACCACGTTCTATCAAACTGGGTCTTTTAAACACTTCGCTTTTGGAAATTCATTCTTTAAAGTCTTGGTATACCTTATCTCTAAATACAGTCTCTGCACTTGTATTCCTGAAAAGTGATAGTGAAAAAAGGCTTTTAAGATTGTCATGAAGACTTTAAGACTTTCTACACCAATGCCAAACAAAGGAGAAGATTACTTTGCTTTCCATTACAGTTTCATTTGAGTTCTGGTCAATGTGCAACCCAACTGGAGGAGATAAACTATATTTACTGTAATCACGTCAGCCCTGTAAACCATACAACTGTGTCATTTCCTTTAGCTGCTTGATAATTCTTCCAACATTTTCTTGAATACTGTTACTATTCAAAGTATTTCTCCTCTAATAGTCATCTTTGCTTTGGTTCAACTGGATTAATAAAAAGCAGCCAGACTGAATGTTTTTGGCATGCACTGGTTTGTTGACAAGGTCATGTTATCCGTTTATTAGAATCAAGTGTAAAACTCAGCCAAGGCTCCTCGTGCCTGCCAGGTCATTAAACCCTTTCAGAGAGATTTCTGGAAAACACCCAAACACTGAATCACACAGAGTCAAAGAGGGTTTTTGTCACGACTCCGTTTGCAAACAGTTGTGTGTCAAACTATGATAATGAAGGTTTCAGATTTATAACATTTGCTCATATTGCTCAACTTTCTAATCTTATTAAAACATCAGTTCTGTTGTCATTTGAGGAACAGACACAAAGAGGCTATTATTTAATTATTATTTCAACTATTATAACAGTTTGAAACTAATTGAAAGAATATCGATTAAAAAGTTGAGTGTCTTGGCAAAGTCTTTTTGAGTTGCATCTTTTCCCCTGATATTGTGTACATTGACTTCTACATAACACTTGTTAAGTGTTATTGTTTTTCTCTCCCTTTGTTTTGATGTTGAGAGCGCTGTGACTGTGTGCTGATTTCTGATATTATGCCATGTGAAACCTTAGACCTCATTTAGAAGTACTGTGTTACAGCTAGAGAGCATGGCCGGGTGGAAACTGAAAGATGAATTACTGTCTTATGAAACTGATATGGAAACCTGTGTTGATTCACAGCCTGTGTATGTGTGTATGTATGTATGTACTGTATGTATGTGGCTGAGTGACATTCAGGGCTTTATGATCACTGCTGGAGTTGTTTCAGCCAATCATGATGCAGAATTGTGTTTTTGTTTTTATAGGACTTATGACAACCAGGTCCATGATCTCTGAACAGGAAAATAAACATGAAATAGACATAAATAAACATCTTTTCTGAATTTTATATATATATTTAGGGGACCCAGACACTGTGGTGTCATGCTTTAATGTGAGTGCTGTACAAAAATGCATCTGCTAAGAGTAAGCGTAAGAGTCAGATATGAACTGATCTGAATGAATTCAAATGACCCAGTGCAACTGTAGCATCACGTTGTCTGTTTGTGTATATTTTCATTGTACACTGAAAATAATGTACATGCTGTTATGATTTCTAAAAATGCCTTCATCTTTGTAAATAAAGATTTTATACATTGTACTGCATTAGTTTCTCGTAGAATTGTGTCATGTCAACAGAAAAACTGAGGAGATAGTAGTGCAATAAATCAAGGAGAGTATTTTGGCACAGTTTTGCTTTATTTAAACTTTGGTAAAGAAATTATTTTCAGTACTACTCACTTTTTATTGCTCACAGAAAAATATACTCCTTTTTCTCTGCACAAAATTGCTGAAGCTGCTGATATTGTAGAAACATTTAATGTAAGTAACCTTGTATAAGGGAGGTAGGTACTGAAAAGGTGAGTTGATACTGCGTCATGCCTGTGTTATTTTTTACAGTGTACCTATAGAGTCAGATAAGAGTTTAAATACCTCAACCTTTTAATATAAGATTTATAAAAATCAAAAACTAAATACAACACAGACTCTATTATCTGAATGACCTTGTTTTTTAAAGTTGGGCCTTACTGTGGTATCAATCTAAAACTTTGCAAAATATTCATCACTCTTATCTAGTAGTAAAGTCACATGTTTTCATTGGCATATGTAAACAACTCACAGGGATTAAAGTAATACTGAGGACTACGAGAAAATTAAAATCAAATTAAAAGCTCCATAAAAGATGAGTGCACTTACATACACAGAAATAATCAAATATTTTCAGGTGTCTTGATCTGCTTTTTGGTCCTGATCCTGTCTTTTTTTTTTTTTTAATAATAAGCATCTGCCAGTACTAAGTCCCAAACCAATACTTGGCAAGGTGTTGCGCATCTTCTCTATTTGTTAACGACTGCAACTGATGTAAACAATTTCCCTAAAATGTGTCTCCTGCCTGTACTATTCTCCTCAAAATGATGTGCTGTGGTGTAGTAAGATCCATAAAATTGCTGTGCATACAATACTGAAGGCCTGAACTGGGAATCAACCCGGTGTGCAGTGAGGCTCAGCAGCAACACGAGACAAACATCAGAGCAACAAATTCTGTTTTCAAACTAACAGCAGTCACATCACTTTTTGAATCACTTTGTGTGTTGTCACAAACTTTGCTGTTCACCTCCACTGTGTCTGAAACGTAGTGTCGAGACAGCAGGACTTCACATAGATCCAAAAATCCCGCCCTCTCTACCACAGAAAGAAGCTGGTGTCATAAACATATACATTTAACCATCCTCTCTGCAATCCATTTGGCCTTTTTTTCTCTCTGTACTCTTCTGCAGACCAGAGTTTGTTGTTTTTGTCCCAGCAGCTTCGTCTTCTGTTGCTTTTATCTGCTCCATGTTTAATTTTGCCTCACACATATAATATATGATAGCGTTGAATGTAGCTCTGCTGCCAATGTCTCACAAAACAATCAGGTTGCATTTGCTGCAGGTGGCTGTTAGACTGTTTTCAACTTTGCAAAATTTGGGATTTTTTGACACCACTGACATTTGAGCTGCCTGTGTGTTTGCAGTGTGCCACAAACTGTGCTCAGATTATGATTGTTGATGGAAACAACTGAGTTGAGATGATCAATTTAGATTGCCAGTCTCCAGTCAGTTTATTGTTTGAAAAATGGCCAGACGAGCTTCACTCTGATAATTGAAATCCCGATCTGATACCTCTACACCAACTAAGTAATGTGAAATATGAGAATAACAACAACCAAGAGTTAAGATAAAATCCATAGATTGTTTTATAATAAGAGACTTGCTAAACAATTAAGATTGTGAAGAAATTCTTTCTTATTTTGAACTGGCGACCTTTAAGAAGAGACAAGTCCTAAAATGTCATGGGACTGAACGCAACATTAATTTCAACCATAGCCACAAATACTTCAACAAATCTACATGTGATCCTTTGCCACCCCACCTAGCTCGACTCTTTGTACTCAATCAGCATGAAAACTAATTTAAATCAAACAAATACAGGTTTGTTTTCATTGGTGTAAATCTGTCAGAGGCTGACTCTGTTTTCTCTCTCTCTCTTGTCTTCTTCTTTGAAAGTGTGTGTGTGTGTGTGTGTGTGTGTGTGTGTGTGTGTGTGTGTGTGTGTGTGTGTGTGTGTGTGTGTGTGTGTGTGTGTGTTGCGTGCGTGCGTGCGTGTGTGCTCATCTGCAGGACACGGAAAGTACGGTGTCTTCCACAGCTTGGCACAAACACATGCTCAGATAATTATATATCTCCCACACACAGACACACATACACACAACTCATTAACACACATACACACAGTCACACACATAAATGGCTGATGCATGCACACACACACATACACTGAATGTACACACACATGCACACACACATATTCGAACACGAGTGTATGAGTCAGAGCAGCAGTCCAGCAGGGTGGATTCCTCCATCTGCAGAGAAAGAGAGAAGTAACAGTTTAACCCTTTATGGTTTTTAAGGTGAGAGGACACAGACTCAGTTGTTTGAGATTTGTGAAATCCAACCGACACACAACTACATGTTTTGTTTTGTTTTTTTGCATGCGTGCTGTAAACAGTTTTTGTTATAGGAGACATTTTAATGCAAAATAGATATTTTCATTTTCTTTTAAAAATTATAATGCTAACCATCTAAACCTTCCCACAGAGCAATAGACGGCTATTAGACGTCTAGCTTTTTTTAGACCTAATTTCGGACGTCTAGATTCTGTATACTTTTAGACAGAATTAAGACATTGCACGTTAACCCATTCGATAACTATTTATTTCAAAAAGCAACTGTGAATTGCATAACTGATATCCAAGTACTTAAAATAATTATGATAGCCATTGAGCAATATACAGTGTAGTATAGATATAGCCCAGATCTAGATTTAGTCTAAACTTACTCTTAATTTAGACGTCTAAAAAGCTTTCATTTTTAGACCTGTGGTAGCCTGATTTTAGATTCAACATCAAGGCTACATTGAGACGTCTATTAGACCTCTTTCAGACAAAAAAATGCTCAGTGGGTACACCTTTACTTTCCTTGCCATGTTTTCATACTTGTGGCCAAAGCATCTATGACTATAAGTGTAAAATAACTCATAAAGCCTTTGTCAAAACTGTGATTCGTCAATACTCTTTAGTAAAAGTTGCATATTTCATAGTTTTGAAAAACTGTGTGAAGTAAACTTTTTTAGCACATTCTTGAAAGCTAAAGATTGCAGGTTGTTGTGTTATAGTTGTAAATTTATCGTGACCTTTTTGACCTTTTATATTATGTGTTAAATTCATAGTATCTAACATATAGGGTATCAAATTCTATATATGTATAACATGAATGTCTGTGAATATGTAAATTCATATGCTGTGTGTTCTAATGCTAAACTGTTTCATACACTCTGGTTTTAAAACTATGGAGAGGTCTGAAAGTGCATACAGAAATATGTGAGAGTGCAGCTTTTATGGCCTGAGGGAAACTGGAAATTAGGTCTAACACCTGTTGTGCACAAGACACATATATATATATATAAGTCGTGGTCAGCACAGCCAGTACATTGAGCCAGGACAGCTGGCCTGATCATGGATCAGCTGGAACCACTAGGATATCATGGTCTACTCAGCCAAGAAGGACATCTTGCAAAAGGTAACTGCAGAGCTGGCACATTTCATGTAAGGTACATGTGCATGGAGCAGCGTATGTTCATGTCTCTGTGGGTGACAACTCAAGATGCCTCATGGACCTGTGCAGGTGGAAAATTACTTTGTTTGAAGACTGTATAAAAGAAGGGCTGGCTGAGTGAAAGCAGCTCAGCCTTTGGCTTTGCTCTGGTTCACCATGAACCGTGTTATAATTGAATCTTTGAATGATAAAATCCACTGAGCAAAATCCCTGGATTGAAGTCTTTTACTGAACTTTGCCTCCACATAAGTAAAGCAGCAAAATGAGTTTTTGGTCGGTGTTTGACTAACACATCACACATGTCCATTCTGTCTCATTTTATCTATTAAAAAAGGGGCCAGGAAAAAGCACACTGGACTGGCATGAAGCAGCGGAGCAGTGTGCTACACCCTTTTAATTAAAACCATGTCTTTGCTACAAAAACACAACTTCAGCTGCTATGATGGCAGCCCTGGAGGCTCACTATTGGTGTTTTATTTAGATTTGAAAGATCTCATTGTAGTTGTCAGTAATGATGATCCAGGTTTTTTACTGTATGTGCCTGTGTTTGTTTTTATAAATACATATTACAATATACAGAACAAGTCATCAATTCCAGAGCATAAATGGGTGTTGATGTTGTCTTAATTTGCACAGTTACTGTAGTCTTTCCTCTATCTGAGGATAACAATTTAATTTTACAGAAGCAGATGTGTCCGTTTTAACTAGGATTGTGTGTTTTGTTTTGTGTGTTTCATTAATATCATTCTGTGTATTGAAAATATGATGATCTACTGTCAGCAGACTCATTCAAGTCTGTGAGTGGGCATATGTATCTAACACCGCCCCAGTAACTCTGGTTTGACAGCCAGCTTTGTGGGACAGCTAAGAGGGATCTCAATGGTCAGGGACAGTGAAGCCAGATCAGTAAAAGATACCTGATACTCTCTTGGTGGTTGAGGCCCCTACTGCCTCCAAAATATCAACACCTACCGTAGAAACTGGGTGTGCGTATACTCTGCTTTCTGCTACATTTCACCCTCAGCTTCACTCAGATACGCACACACTCATACACACACCCACACACAGATGTGTGCACACACACACACACATACGCTGAACACTTACAAATGTGGGTGGGTGCAGCGGCTCAGTCTGTTGTGTTTTCAATGCTGGGGCCAAAAGGAGACACATTCAGGATGCTGTGGTCAGAGACCTCCAGTCTACTCTCTTCCTCTATTGACTGCTTTCTTGATGTGAATGTATGGAGAAGTATGAGAAGCCTGAAGTAATAACCATGAAGAGCAGCCACTTACATATGTAAGCAGGATACAATCATCACATTTAGCTGAGGTGTAGAGAAGCAGTTTTTTTTCCTATATGACATTTTAATATGATTAATACACTCATCACGTGTTGTCTGGGTTATGACTTTATCAGTCTGACAAATGCTAAAATTCATACGTTGCACAT